TACACACAAATGGCTAAGATGAGATTAGCTGTAATGAAACTTTGGATAAAATCAAACTACAGATTATAATAACATAGAGAATTATCTCAAGGGAAAATTACCTCAAGATGGAAAAAGGATGAATTTCAGAACTGTAAACTCCACTTAGTGAATAAGCAGTGGGACAAGTGTTCAAGAGAAATTATTCAGGAAAAGCCCTTTCCTACATGTGGCCAGGAAAATCAACGTCAGACAACACAAAGATGTCCTCTACTTTCAGAGGATCCTGGTTCTAAGTCAAACCTATGACCAAGGTTTCTTTCTTTTTTCAACATTTCTCGTTACTGCTGAACAGCAGATTCCAATTTTCAAATGGAAGGCTATTGATTGATGCCTACTAATGTTCTCAATACATGGAAACAGTTCAGATGAGTTTTCACAGACAACACTCTTTTGCAAGCTCACTGAGTGATGGTCTCAGAGTCTGGTGTGTATAGTTTGGCCCAGGGCAGCTGTCTGTCTTTGCCTCCTGTACCACTTTCAGTAACACAGCAGCCTTATGGAGCCTGACTCCAGGAACTATGGGGAGATTGAATTGAAAGATAAATGCTTTAAAATTTAAAATGCCATACTAGAATGGGCACAGTAAAACAGTCATGAACCACAAAATGAGGTTCATTTCAGGGAGAACTGCACACACGACAACGGCCCCATAAAATTGTAAGGGACTGGAAATTTCTATTCCGAGTGACGTCATAGTTGTCATGCTGTCCAGCACAATTCATTATTCAAATGTCTGTGGTTATGCTGGTGTAAACAAATCTAATGGGCTGCCAGCCATAACAAAGTACAGCACATATTATTATGCACAGTTCACAACATTTGGTAATAACTTACTAGTTTGTATTATTATACTTTTAAGTCAGTTACTATTATTTGTAAATTTGCAACTGTTGGGGAAGAGGAAGAGAAACACTTCCATGCTCCGGCTCGTTCCCTGAATGCCAGCAATGGCTGGGGCCAGGTGGAACATGGGAGCAATGGACATATCTACATCTCCCACACGGGAGTCTTCACTGCTCCCTCCCTGGTTGTGCAACAGCAGTAAGTTGGAATCAGGCGCCAGGGCTGCAGTTGAGCCCTGAACCTGTGTACTCTCATATGGGTGTCTCAAACACTGGGTCAACTGCTTGGACTTAACCATCATCCCAGTACTGATTTGTTCTTAGTACTGATTTGCCCTTAGTACTGATTTGTTCTTACTAAAACTTGTAATGTCCCTATCTTGTGTTGGGGTGTCTGGTTCCAAGTGTCTGCTTGTTTCTTCAATCCCAGCTTCTTGTTTATGTAAATGCTTGGAGGCAGTGGTGAGGGCTTAAGTGATTGGACTCCTGCCACACAGTGGGAGGCCTGAGTCAATCCTGAATGATGCAGATAAATGAAAATGAACCAGCAGATGCAAGCATCTGTACTCTCTATGCCTCTCAAATGAGTAATTAAAAATGAAAAAATAAAATAAAGAAGCTTTTTGTAAAACAGTATGCCCTGTCCCAGTAGCAGCAGTCTCATTTTGTGTTCAGCACATCTTGTTTTCATCATTTCCCTTGGGCATGTTTTTCACTTCATATTCCTTTGTTCACCCAGGCTATAGGAGCAATAAGTTATAGCATACAGTGGTGCGCAGCTGGCTACATGTTTTCTACCTGGAAATGTTTTATGAGACTTATAGAATTAAAAAATTCTCCTGATGTATTTCTCAGAATGCACCTCCCTACAAAATGATAGGCAGCCAATATCTAAAATTCATGAATGTGAGTTTTGCGTGAATGTAAAGTTTGCAGGATATTTTATATCCATTCCTGCTCTTTATAAAGTCTAGATCAAATGGTGTCTACAAAAGACTTCTTTGTCTCTCCAGTGGGGAGAAGCCACAGGTCCCACAGCATGTCAGTAATCAGTTGTCCTCTGCTCTGGGCTGGTTATGGTTCTTTTTGTTGCCTCTCATCCACCAAACTGCTTCTACAGAGATCAAACCTTGATGCTCTATTTCCAGGTTCCTCACCAACTCAGCCCAGTGTTTCATCTTCAAAAATAACTCAGGACAATTGTAAACTGCAATCCAACAAAAATACCTACTAATAGATTCCTGTACCCTACTGATGCGCACTGGGCATAACCATCTTAGTTGAAATGTTAATTCAACTGAACGAATCAGGCATCCGTTTCCATAGTACACATTCCTTGAGCCTTCTAGTCTCTGGCTTTCATGGTCTTACCAATTCTCAAGCATGTCGCCTTGCTGTTTCTGTGTGGTCACTTAGCTGCTCTACCTGGGAGTTTCTGCATCGGATCCTATGAGAATCCTAACACTCCTCTAAGGTAAAAGTCAAGGCCAATGCCATGTCCATTATGAATCACATGGTAAAGAAAGCCAACTTTCACAAATTCAAAGTCACATATTACATTAAAAAAAAAAAGCACCATTCTCATCTTTCTTGTAGGTGGTGAAAAGTATGAGGCTATTTCAAAGTCAGTAGAACAATGAAAAGTATTTGAAATCTATGCATAGTTTATTAATAACATGCATTTTCCATGAAACTTGAAGATTCTTCATGTGCATGAGTTTCAAAAATCTGGGAACCAAAGCAACCTACCCTTCAATTCCATTTTCCACGAATTTTTTGAAGTATCCTCATATAAGAAAATACATTAGCATGATCACTTGATACTGCTTTCTTGAATAATGAAAAGGAAGCAAGGTTCATTATCCAAAAACAATAATCAAGAGACAGACTGTGGAAGTGTGAGGGAGGCCAGGCACTGCAGCAGTCGAGCGGGGAGGGAGCAAAAGTATGGACCAAGGAGACGCAGCTGACAACATGGGCATGGTCACGAACAGGATCTCTAACACAGGTCCTGTTTTTCTTGAGTCACGTCCATTTCTTCAGGTTGAAAGAATGTGGACAACTCAAGCAGCTGGAATTGTAGTCTGCCAGATATCAGGGACCAGAAAGACTAGAGTACGTCAAAGGAGTGGTGATAGGGATGAATCATGTGGTCCAGGGTGGTAAGAAGGAACTGATGATGGAAATCACAGCTGGGGATCAGGAAAAGATACTAGGATCAAGAATACATTCTAGGTCCTGTCGAAATCTAAAATTATCTTGGCTAAAGTTACTACACACAGACAGTAAGTCAGAGTTTAGGATGCTCAAAACTGTGCTGTGAAGGCGTTTTGTGTATAACATGACCAGGTTTTGGATGTGGGTGCATGGAAAGAATGGAGGATGACATTACTTATAGAATTAATCCATAACAGAAGAAACCAGAGGTCTCTAACTGCCTAAGTAACTACTTCAGACCTAAATACATATAATATTCACATTCTGTGCATTTTTTTGGTCATTTCTGACAAAACAAAAGGAACTGAGAACCTTTCTCATATGGGATTCTGTAAGAGGAAATATTTTAACTACTTTTTTCTCAGTTACATCAATGATAAAAATTAAGAACATCCATGATGAGCAAGAGAGAAATCATTTATATTTACAATGATGTGTGAGCACATTTACTTGCTCATGAAATCATGGATAACAGTAAAAGAATGACTTTTAGAAATATTTTTTTAAATAATACACTCATTCCTTGTAAGAAGCAATTTTCAATATGCAAGCACTTTCACATGTGTGTGTCTGTCACACAATCCTAACAACCAGGTGAGATATGCAAAGCGTAATACTTTTAAAAATAGGTCTATTAATTTTTCACCAACTTGAAAGAGAGACAGAGACCTTCCATCTGCTTTTTTTTTTTTTACTTCCCAAACGTCTGTAACAGCCAGGGCTGTGACAGAAACTTGCTATGGGTCTTCCACATGGGTCCCAACGACCCAAAACATAAAATAGTTTCCCAGGATACAGTAGCAGGAAGCTGTGTGAAAGTACAGTAACCAGGACACAAATCTGCATGCCAGATTGGGGTGTGACGATCCTGAGCTGCGGCTTAACCCACTGCACCAGAACACTCACTCACCCTTAAAGCACAATTTCATGACAATCATAAGTCTTATTTGATTGATGCAGATATATTGAGTGACATGGTTGAAATACAAATTTCCAGTCTCCTGCAAAACATAATCCAGCTATCCATACATCTTCTGGTATCAATGGTCTGACACCACTTATTCAATGCCCCATTCTTCCTATCGCCCTGAATGTCTCTGATTCTCCATTAGCTTTTACACTAGGGTGTGATATCTATAACTTAATTAAAAAATAGGAATAAAAAAACAGGAAGCTAGTCAGAAAAATGTTAAAGGTTAAAATATCAACTAAGATTCTGTGGAATGTAAATACTGTATTTGGAATTTCAAGTATTCCAGCAGAGTTAGAGACAGAATATTGGGCCTTAGAAACGGCCCTGAGGAGCTTGAAGGCAGAGTGAGGCTTGGACAAAACAACACTGAGAGGAAACATGAGCCTCATGTCTCATATCTCAAGCATTTCATGTTCCTCAAAAGGGCAGAGAGGGTATCATCAAATAGAAGCTGTAGGAGGGGAGACTGCCTTAATATAAAATCAGAATGTCCCAGGCGAAAGGTCTTCAACTGAAAAATAGATGTCTCTTCCCATAGTTAGGAGCCAGCCCTGAAGAAGCGACTGATGGCAGGGATACCCAACATTTGCAGTAGGGGAACACCAGGTAGTCACTACGTGACGTCACATCATCATTGTAAAGAGAATTTGAGATCCTAATAAGTGACAGTTACTTAAAATACCAGACTTACTTCTGGCGCAATGCAATATATAACTAAAAAAAAAATGTATTCCACTTCAGGGTACTTAAGCATTAATTTTAGTTTGAGTACTGTTCATTTTTTCCTGGATATTCTTTTATATACAGACACAAATATATTCTATATAACTATCATTTTATGCAAGAAATATTCTGAATTTTAGCACCTTTTCCCACAATATATTTCATTTTCTCTTTGCAATAGGACAAAAAAAAAAAAAAAGAACATGGGCTTTTTAAGCCTACTCTCTGTGTTTTTCTTCTTTTTCGGTGTCGAAGTATATAGCCAGTATGAAACTTATCAATGGGATGAAGATTATGACCAAGAACCAAGTGAGGATTACCAACCAGAATTCCAGTTTCATCAACATATAGAATATGGAGCTCCCTTTCATCAGAACACTGCAGGTTGTGCCACTGAATGCTTCTGTCCACCTAACTTTCCAACATCAATGTACTGTGACAACCGCAAGCTCAAGACTATTCCAAACATTCCGGTGCACATTCAGCAACTATACCTTCAGTTCAATGAGATTGAAGCTGTAACTGCAGATGCCTTCACCAACGCCACTCAACTTAAAGAAATTAACCTCAGCCACAACAAAATTAAATCTGAAAAGATAGATTATGGTGTGTTTGCCAAGCTTCCAAATCTACTGCAACTTCACTTAGAGCATAACAGTCTTGACCAATTTCCATCACCTCTTCCCAAATCTCTGGAAAGACTCTTCCTTGGTTACAACAAAATCTCCAGGCTGCAGAAAAATGCCATGGATGGACTAGTTAGCCTGACCATGCTGGATCTCTGTTACAATCATCTCCATGATGCTATGTTAACAGAAGAAGTTCTTGCCAAAATGGAAAAATTAATGCAGCTTAACCTATGTCATAACAGATTAGAATCAATGCCTCCCGGGTTGCCTTCTTCACTTATGTATCTATCTTTGGAAAATAATTCAATTTCTTCTATACCAGAAAATTATTTTGACAAACTTCCCAAACTTCATGCTCTAAGACTGTCACATAACAAACTGCGAGACATCCCAAGTAACATTTTTAATCTCTCCAACCTTGTAGAGCTCAATGTTGGACACAACAAATTGAAGCAACCATTCTACATTCCAAGAAATTTGGAACATTTGTACCTAGAAAATAATGAAATAGAAAGTATGTAAATTTTCATTGTTTAAATATAGAAAGAATAATATTTTGACATTTTAAAGAACAAGCTACAAAAAAATGGTAATTTTGAAGTTGGCAAGAGAAATGGTAGAAATTTGTTCCAAAGAACAGTGTGCCAAGTCATTTAGATTTATCATTTGAATATTGAGAATAATACTTCAGAGTATATGAAAAAATATGAGTATCCTAAATACTGGACTACATATTATTTAAAACTTTTTACTTTTGCAATTGTTTCTACTAATATATTACTTTGGAGTCAATGAAACCACATTTATTTTGGTAATATGGAAGTCAGTTTAAATTTTCCTATTATTTGATTAATATAAAAATAATTAAGGTAATTATACTTACAAGTTTTTAATCAATAAAACTGTATACCATATAACCAAATCCAAAAAAAAATAACAGCGATTAAGCTGTGGGCATAATTTTTTTAATTTGTATTTTTCAGATATCAATGTGACAGTGATGTGTCCTTCCATTGATCCAGCGTATCAGCATCATTTAACATATCTTCGTGTGGACCAAAATAAGCTGAAAGAACCAATAAACTCGTACATCTTCTTCTGCTTCCCTTACATACACAGTATTTATTATGGCGAACAAAGAGGCCCTAATGGCCAAACAATACAGCTGAAAACACAAGTTTCCCAGAGATTTCAAGAAGAAGCTAGTGATGAGCATGAAGAAACTGACGGAGCCCTGGAGTACCATGAGCAAGGAATGCAACAGCGCTTTGACCCTCATTATTACGACAGTGAAGAATGGCAAGAAACTTTAGGTATATACTGATGATTGCACAAAACCTCATCATTCTAAACTTTAAGCACATACTGCTCCAAGCAATATATCTAGCATTTCCTATTAGTATAAGATCAGAACTGGATTAACACTGTCAGTGACATCTGTGTCACTGCACAGGATTAGAACGTATTCAAAGCAACATAACTCTTTAGAAATATAAATTAGAGCAAGTAGGAATCAAGACTAAATTTTAAAAGCTTCTTACGCTTTAAAAATGGAAAAATGTTGAACACTCCAGTGTGTGTGTGTGTGTCATTTTCATCAGTATTTGAATTCTTAATCTAGTAGTAATTGGCAAATTTTATCAGTAAATTTTCTAGAAACGATGAAGAATGTAACATTGGCAGTGAAGGCCTGTAAATCCTGACCTTTCATTTCTTCAGAGGACAATGTTTGACATATAAAAGGGCACATTAACATAATGAGTGGTCATTCATCCAAGCATTGTGTCTCAAGAAAAGCCTTCACACTTGTATAGCTGACCTCCTCACTATAATATCTATCCCCTAGGCTTAGTTCACAAAATAAAATTTTTTATGATGTTCAAGAAGCACCTGTGATATTGTGATATTCATATTTTGAGTTTCATATATGGGTTAATTCCTAGTTGTTAATTCCTTCTCCAAGATAGGCCATAGAAATCATAATTTCTTTTCCCTAGAGCAGGTCACAAAATACTCCAGCAGCTTCCTGCTCCTCTCTGTCTTGGAGCTGGCCAAAACAAATGATTGGACCCACTTCTGGATGTAGTCGGTCAGAAGGATGATTCCCATTCTAGGGGTACCCTGCTCTATACCTTGCAGGGAGGGAGGCTGCACAAGAGAGGAAAAGTGGGAATGGGAACAGTTAGGGTTTGCTGAATTTTCACAGCTAGTCTGCGAAATCAAGTATCACAGGAACACAAAATGACACAGTCTGCAGAGCTTTTGGAGAAATGGGCACACCTCTCCAGGTTCTGGGAAGGTGCTGTCTGGAGGGTGAATGAAGTCTGAAGCCTTTATCCCATACCCTATGCATGTCTTTATCTGCATCCTTTGTAATAAACTAAATAAATTCAAGCAGGGTTTCCCTGAGTTCTGTAAATTCCTCAAGCAAACTCATCAGAAACCAAAGAGAAGGGACTTGGGGACTCCTGACTTACAGCCAATCGGTCGGAAGTACAAGTAAAGCTATTTAAGGCTTTGATTGGTCTTAGGTGGAGTATCAGTAACCTTGGTGACCATGTATGTCCCCAGCCTGCAGGATCTAACAGTATCTTCCAGGTGGACAGAGACAGAACTGAACTGGAAAACACCAGCTATCGTGCCTCTGCATGATTGTTGGGAGAAGCCCCACATTTTTTGAATTCATACATACATTTGTGTTGATTATTTTGTGTGAGCAGAGGAAAGAAAAAGTTTTGTTTTTCCAACATAGATTATCCTACGGTAGATCTAAGACTTGCAAATTCACAAAAGCAATGAGTCTAGGTCTAGGTCTTCTGGTTTTGTATCAGCTCAGCTCTGGCCCTCGCAGCCACTTAGGGAGTAAACCAGTAGATAGAAGATCTTTCTCTCTCTAGCTCTGTGTCGTTCCTTTTGTAAACCAGCTTTCAAATAAAAAAAGTAAATAAAATTTTCACACACACACACACACACACACACGAGTAGCTGTGACACTGTAAAATGCAAGTAGAAGAGAAAAGGAGTAATGCTAGCGTAAAGCGCTTTGCAACACAGAAAGATGTCAGAATAATGTTAGATACAAAAAAATGTCAGACCCACACCCTCTTACAATTTTTAAGAACAGTTATAAATTCAAACACTTACTATGAGCTAAGATATAGAAAAATCCTGGTTTTAAGACACAAGACTCAAAAAAGTTATATATGAACCAGCAACCTTACCTGTACATAACTGTCCACAGCAACATCATTCTATTTTTAAAGATCTATTTATTTGCTTGCTTGTTTGTTTGTTTATTAGAAAGTCAGATTTACAGAGAGAAGGACACAGACAGAAAGTTGTTCCATCTTCTGGTTTACTCCCCAAGCGGCTGCAATGGCTGGAGCTGTGACGATCAGAAGCCAGGAGCTTCTTCCAGGTCTCCCACATGATTGCAGGGTCTCAAGGCTTTGGGCTATCCTCTACTGCTTTCCCAGGCCACAATCAGGTAGCTAGAAGGGAAGTGGAGCAGCTGGGACATGAACCAGTGTCCATATAGGATCCTGGTGCATTCAAGGCAAGGAGTTTAGCCACTAGTTTACCACACCAGGCCCAGAAGATTTTTAAATAGAACATCATTCTTAAGAGTCAAAACGTGTTTATCACTTAAGTGTTCAGGGATGGACAGACAAAACTATGGTCTACTACGGAATAATTAATTCATAAAAAGTGATGAAGCACTGGTATACACTCCATCAGGGTAAACCATGAAAATGTTATGCCATGTGAAAGAAGTAGGTTTTAGAAGAATTCATGTAATATTAATTCTATTATATGAAAAACAAAAATAAAGAAGCAAAATTGTCACTCACTGTCCACAGATACGCAGTAGAAAAAGGAAGGGAAACAATTGTTGATGGGAATATTTCTTTTGGGGGTGAAGAAAAGTTTCTAAAAGCTTTTACAGTGATGCTTGCACAAGTCTGAAAACACTAATCATTACTGAAGTATACACTAAAAAAAGATGTACTTATTTATTTGAAAGTCACAGTGACACAGAAAGAGGGAGACAGAGAGATCTTCCACGTGCTGGTTCACTCCCAAGATGGCTGCAATGACTCCAGGAGTTTTGTCCAAGTCTCCCATGTGTATGGCAATGGCAGGGGCCTCAGTACACGGTTGTCTTCTTTTGCTCTTCCCAGGCCACTAGCCTGAAGCCAGATTGGAAGTGAAGCAGCCAGGTCATGATCTGGTGCCCAAATGTGATGTTGGTGTCACAGGCAACAGCTTTACCTGCTACACCACAATACTGGCCCTTGAACTCCAGACTTTATTATGGAGAACTGTATCTCAAAGCAATTATTTAAAAATTTTAATAACATTAGACAACACATTCTAACACAAGAAGGAAAGACACAAAATGCCAAAGTGGCAGAAAGTATAAAAACAAAATAAGTATCTAAGACAGAATATCTGGTGAAAGAGCTGAGAGTTCCCAGGAAGAGGAGAGACCTGCTCTATGATGGGCTACCTGCTAGGCTAAGAACACATTCCAGCTGAGGATGACACAGACCTGGTACTCACCTGACTTTACACTTTAAACAATTTTAAAAGAACTCTAAGGTTTATGGAATTCTAGAGCTTCTATTTTTTCCCATAAGTTGATAAAAGAAAGCATATTTTAATTCTGGTATAACTTGACAATTTAAAACATGGCATTTTATTTCAGAGATCTGTGGGTTAGAAGCCTAACTTTACAGTGCTGAAAAATGGGGCAATCATTTAGCTTTCCTGAGCCCCCCTTTCCTCCATGAGGGTTCGCTTTTGGTTGTTACAAGGATGAAAAGAGACCATGCCTATGATAAAGCACTTGAATTACATGTCAAAAAAAGATCTCAGTAAACAGCCTTGCTCCAGCAGATCTGACCCCACAGTTCAAGGAGCCAGGTGATCATGCTAGCTTTCCTAAAATAGGGGGCACAGAATGGGTCTGCATCTCCCAGGGTTCCTCCTAACATTCTATTCACATAGTGGACAGGAGGGTCACCACTAAGGATTTCATTAGGGTGCTTAAATCCAACACTCTACAACAAACAAATGCAAAGTCATCCCTAGACAGTTCAGCGTTACCAAACATCCTTACCCTCTATCCACCTTCCAACTCTTTTTGTCAACAGTGCAACCAGATTCTTCCTCTCCAGTAGGAAAAACACCTCAGGCCCACCGTAGCACACAGAATCCAAAGCACTGCAAAGAGCTCCATCTCAGGGCTCAAGAAAGAGGATGATGGACATGCTCTCATAATATTTTTTTTTTATTCACTTGAAAGGCACAGTGACAGAGAAAGATGTTCCATATGTTGGCTCTTTGTTCAAAAGCCCACAATAACCAGGGGCTAGTTCAGGTTGAAGCCAAGAGCCTGGAACTCATCATAGCCTCCCACATGGGTAGCACAGTCATCATTCACTGTCCCCAGATGTTCACTAACAGGGAGTTGGACTAGAATTGGAGAAGTACTCAAGATAACCTTGAGATAACTCATTGAAGTACTCAAACTGGCACTCTGACAGAATTGCAGGCAATGCAAAGGTGGGCATTGCTCTACAATGCCTATCTTAGACAGTTTCTTGTTACTTGGAAATATTCTGAGAAATTCAAATGCACCCCAAGTATTTCCCATCACAAACAAAAACCTCAGCACTTTCACTGAAAGAAACAGAATAGATTATTTTTGTCAGCTAGCACATAAAAATGGCTCAGCCACCTACTCAGAGCTATGGTTAAATCAGTTGACTTGATATGGATGAAAGAAAAAAACATGAAAATCCATCTGTTATTTGTCTCTATACTACACAATATTTAGTTACATTAGTTAACAGGCTGAACTATTTGTAACTAACAAATTGCACCATAAGTCCAAGGTTTACATAAACAAAATGGATACACTTTTAAAAGCTTTAGCTTTTAGAAAAGAAACAGAAAACAAAGGATCCTTCATTAATCTGCTCGCAATACTGGTTGAGAATTTTGGCCCATGTTGAAACATTACCTCAGATACTATCCATATATTTTCCTTTCGTTCCTCAAGTTTGGGACCACTAAACTAAAACACAGATGGATGCATATCACATAACACATTTAGCTGGCCCCACAGGGGAAAAGAGAAAGTAGAAAAAAAAAATTAACCTTGGCCCATCTATATGCTTTTTCTGTTCTAAGGAATTCAAATGTCTCCAAGGACAGTTTGAACTAAAACCCTGGTTTCCTGATTCCAAATACATTTTGTCTACATTTTGGAAATAAAGTATAAGAGCAGCTGGAAATGAAATTAAATCATAATAGCTT